CGGCATCACAACAGAATTCCAATCTCTGGAAACTAAACTTTAATTCAATAACTCAACTATGTTCCAATGAACTACATGGGCTGTAATTATAGTAAACTAAACCTAGAGACAATAGGAATAAAATCCTTTACTAGAACAGAAATCCTAATCCACAGAGGAATAGGAAAACAAACCAATCCTAAATAAATCAGGAAACTTAGATTTCTAGAAAACCAGAAATCCTTCTGAAACTAACAAATAAATTAGGAAACTAACAACAAAAAAGGAAATCTGCTCCAGACTCTATTAAAAGGAAGTTTCAATGATGTCTGCATCAATGTGCTCCTTGAAAGACTGCTTTGATTTTCCTTTTCTTTCTTGCCTTATTAGTTCTGCTTTAGTTTGCTTAATCCAGTAGCCCCTCAGATTTGCCTGTAAATTTGTGCAGTCACTTAGTTACTCCAAGAATACGATCGCCTCCCTTGGTCTCTTATGAGGATTTGCATCCTTTTGTTGGAGTAGAAGGGTAAGTTCCAAGTTCAACTCCGTGTGTGTGTGTATGTCAAATGGTCTGGTGAGTTCTAAACTGTTGGTCTGGTGAGTTTTAAACTATTAATCTTTTGAAAATCATATTTTGTATGCTTTTGTAACACTTTTATGTATGGGACTTGGGAAACTATGTTTTGGGTGGAGACTTTGATGCAAGAACATAATAGTTTGGCTATGTTATCTCCAAAAATACTGGTCTCATTATGTTTTCCTGTCTGCTCATTGCTAGGGAATCATCATAGAAAAGAAAAGTCATTTTACTTTGAACATCTTTTTCTCCCCGATAGTTACATTCTTCATCTTTTATTAATGGTGAAATGCATGGTTGCCTTATGTGTGTCACTTTTCTACATGGCTTTAATCTGTAAGATAACTTTATTCAATACCTCACTTTTTGTTCATAGTGATCTTTCTTTGATTAGGCTGTTGTTTTCTATATAGGCGTGCATTTTCCTCCTCTGGAATGGAAAATCAGCCAAAGTTGCTAGAAGATCATGCTGAGTTGCAGGCTCATCAGGGACCTTCTCTAGTATCACATTTTGAGGGCTCTTATGCGTCTGGTAGAAATTTTCCTGTCAAACATGACGGTGTTCAAGTCCCAAAACGAACAAGGTTCCCATTTTTACCCCGTACTAATGAAGTTGTCCATGAATACTCTCATTTTCCTCAAAATGACTATAAAAGTTATATTAGCTAATATTAGTAGACACCTTAATATCTACAATTTATGAAGACAAATTAGGGTGCACTTTCTGTAGTGGTGGGCAGCCACAAAAACGATTAAGATGTATTGTTCAATGCATAAGGAGAGAAGTAAAGGAGTTCTTATTATCTTCTTCTTGTATAAAAGGAACAATTTGTTTATACAAACAATGCATCTAGGAGGTTATTTCCTTTGAAGTGATAGTGGAACTTTAGGAATGAGAAATTGAATGAAATTTTAGGCACTTACAAAATATGTTACTTTTCTTAATGGAATTTGTATGGGCATATCGCCTTTTGCATCCCCAAAACAAGGGAAGAAAAATCTGAGTGAGGCTAGTATGTGCTTCCCTTTCCAGGCCTTCTGTGTCACCTGTTATGTTGAATAATGGATCAAATGCCAGTTTTAGTACTTGTGATTCTCGGGTACATCAAAGATCTTTGGACTCTCCAAGCAATACTATTTCGGAAGCTGCTGCAAGCAATTTGACGAGCATCCCGGTTGCCAAAAGAACGAGGTCACCTCCTCTACTTCCTGAGGATCAAGTCTTTAACGGGAACTCTTATGCCACTGAAGATGGTACTGAACGGTAAAATCTTAGGTGTGTTAGTTATATTTTTACATACTTTCCCAAGTTTGAGGTTTTCTAATTTTTTTTCCCTGATGTAATTTGCAGAGAAATGCAAGCCAAGGCAAAGCGGTTAGCCCGGTTCAGGGTTGAATTAACAAAAACTCTTCCAAACAATCCTGACATTGTAGAGCAGGGGGTTTCTACTGAAATGGCTATGGATGGTACTGATGGCAATGCTTTATTGGAGTATGAAGGTGTGGAATTGTCTGGTGTCATCATTGGGTTATGCCCAGATATGTGTCCAGGTGTGCCTCTCAACCAAGATACTAAGTGTTAGTGTCAACTGAAATACCGAGGGTTCATAAGCAAGGAAATATGAACAAAAATATTAAGAACCCAGATTTGTAGTAATTTATATCATTGACTTTCTTCTTTTATGCTAGAAGAGTACGAGACTTTCAGTCCTGACCAAGAATTTTCCTTAATGTTTCAGAGTCAGAAAGGGCAGAACGAGAAAGGAAAGGGGACCTTGATCAGTATGAGCGCTTGGATGGGGATAGAAATCAAACAAGCATATCCCTTGCAGTTAAAAAGGTATTCTTTGTGCTGCTACGTCCGTCTCCCCCAAAAAAATGTAAAATATATGTATGAGGGAGCTTCAATTGAAAGATCCCTCAAATAAAGCTTCAATTGAAAAATCCCTTATTTGAGGGAGGCCCTTGTAGGCCCCACAACATATTGTATTTCAATGATTCAACGGTCTATTTTTCAAGTTTTCAAAGATGATCTATGAATAATCAACTGTTTGGATAGTTGAAATACAATGCCAAGTGGGTCACTCATATAAGCTTATTGGAGGATCCCTCATATATGATATATATTATTTATATTTTTCTCTTTGAGGCCATTGTCCTTTTGCCCCTAGAAATTACTTTGTTGATAAGATGAAGCATGATGGATGTTCACATGTCATTCATACACAGTATAACAGAACAGCCGAGCGAGATGCAAACTTGATAAGACCGATGCCGATCCTGCAGAAGACAATTGATTATTTGCTCAATTTGCTCGATCAGCCTTACAATGATAGGTTTCTTAGCATATATAACTTCTTATGGGATAGGATGCGAGCAATCCGAATGGATTTGAGAATGCAACACATTTTTAACCAAGAGGCTATTACTATGCTGGAGCAAATGGTGAGTCCTCTTTAATTTTCTTCCTGTTTGCATGATCTGCTGTTGCTATTTACATAATTACATCATCGTAACTTTGTGAACATGAAAGGAATATGATTAGGTTAGAATGGTAGGATGGACAAGCAATTCACTAATTCTTATGGCTTTTGCATATAGTTTTCTCAGGTCCATTTTCATAGGCTGCCCATGCTACCAGTTAAATTATTCTCATATACTTCTGTTTTTCTTTCTTTCTTTTTTGTTGTTTTTATTATTATATATAAGTAACTCAGAAACTCCTTTAAACCTTCTATCTATTTCAACTAATTATTATCTTGACAATGGAAGTTTTTCATTGAATAGTTTTTTTTTATTCTCCTTCATGATATATGCAAAGCTCTGTTTGACTGATAGTTACACATTGGGTTTCAGATAAGACTTCATATAATTGCCATGCATGAATTATGCGAATACTCAAGAGGAGAGGGCTTTGCGGAGGGGTTTGACACACACCTCAATATTGAACAGATGAATAAAACATCTGTTGAATTGTTCCAATTGTATGATGATCACAGAAAGAAAGGAATAAACATTCCTACGGAAAAAGAATTTCGAGGTTACTATGCCCTTCTCAAGCTGGACAAACATCCTGGGTATATGGTAAGTCTCCTGCAGTAGTCACTCCATTGTACATGTTTCAATTTGTTGTCTGAAAATAATGGATTCCTGCTAGGTTGAACCTGCAGAGCTCTCCCTTGATCTTGCAAAGATGACCCCAGACATAAGACAAACTTCAGAGGTTCTATTTGCACGTGATGTAGCAAGGTTCTCACTTCCCTTCAAATGTATTTTCTGGTTTTGTTGTAGACTGGAATATAAACATCAAATTCATTTCCTCTTGCAGAGCTTGCAGAACTGGTAATTTTATTGCCTTCTTTCGACTTGCGAGGAAAGCAAGTTACCTCCAAGCATGCCTAATGCATGCTCACTTCTCAAAGGTATGAATAAATTTTTCTCGCAGTTTGTGTTATTGATTCACAATTACATTTAGGATTTTTGACTTCATAAGCAATAAATAGGCCTGCTTTATCTATCAGAGAGGCATTCGGTTGCTACGGCAGCAAGTAGTGGACAATGTAGTATGTGTCTGTGATTCTATAAAAAATTGAGCTGGATAGAAAGAAACATATTAAAGATTTTGCTCCTTTTGTTCCAGATATATCAGTCACATATTTATGTTCATCTGTGACATCCAAGGGAAATGATGTGAACATAATTTTGAACGTTGTGTCATTGAGAGTTTAGGATTAAAAGCATTTCAGCCATTATTCTAGTTGCAATTGTAGAATTTTAGTCTTCTACCAAACCTGTACCGAATTTTAGGGATATTTTTAAAAGAAGGTTTACCTAGGTTTTTTCCGAGTGTTTCCTCGGATCTTAAATTTTTGAGGTGTTTGCTTGGTAGCTTTCTGATTCAAGTAGGGAAGAAGTTGCAAATGAATCACGTTGTACTCAGATGGAAAGCTTTGGTGAATAGAAGTTTGGATTGAGCTTTGAGTTTTTGGGTTAAAGCATGGTAGCATGGTGTCTTTGCTTTCTTCTCTCCCCCTTCTCCTCTTTCACAGCGGCTAGGCTCTAAGGGTCCTCATAAATAATATGTGGCAGATAGTGAGATTCAGTCATAAGGTCTCCAATAACACCATAATAAGACCACTAATCTTCAGCCCATGTAGTTTGGTTGTTGCTGCTGATGTTAGATCTTTTTGCTGGTACCTTTATCTAACAACGTTTGCCGTTTTGACCAGTTACGAAGCCAGGCACTTGCTTCTGTGCATGCAGGTCTCCAAAATAATCAAGGGATCCCTGTTTCCGATATTGCCAAGTGGCTAGCATTGGAGGTACCTTTCCTTGGTTTGATGAGAATTCCATTTTGCACCCTCTGGGGGAAAGAGGAACTGTTTCATTTTATCTTATGCTTGTGCTTTGATGATTGACATTAGGAAGAGGAAATTGAAAGCCTTTCAGAGTATCACGGGTTTGTAATAAAGTCATTTCGAGAGCCATATATGGTGAAGGAGGGCCCATTTCTCAATAGTGATGAGGACTATCCTACCAAGTGTTCTAAGCTTGTTGATATGAAAAAGTCAAGAAGGATAATCAAGGATCTTTTAACTTCTACTCAACTCATATCCTTGTCTACTGAAGCAACAAATGAGATTCAGCTTATTAAGAAAAATAAGCCTGAACCAAAAACTGTTTCATATGCTGAAAGGAAAAGTCCTGTCCATGAAGTCCCAGCCGTTGAAGTAATAAAATCCTTCCATGAAGTTGATGAAGAAATGCCTAATTTTGAAGCTGTTTCATCCCCAAAAGATGTCAGACAAAAGCAGCAAATGATTCAAATACCTATTTTTTCATCTCCAGAGGTTTACAGACAAAAGCAGCAAACAATTCAAACACCAATTCTTGGTCAATACACTGAACATCCCCAACAGGTGGCCGCTGTCTCTCCTTCCCCATTGGCTTTCTCATCATTTAAACCCCAGCCTGATAAAGTTGGTACAATGGAGAAGCCAAACTATGATGCTCTTTTCAGTAACTCTCCAGAGAAAAGCATGCATTCTGGCATGGAAGGAATGCCATTGCATATTGAGTCAAAAACAGCTCTGCAAGACAGATCTCCAGTTGATACATATAGTTATGGTGTGGAACATCCAATCAGAAAAATTGTGGTCATTAATAAGGTGGAAGATGAGGAACCTCCAGATCTTGATCAGGAAGAAGAAAATATTGATGATATGGCAACTGATCAACATGAAGAAATTGCTGAGGCGAAACTCAAGTTGATACTAAGGTACTTTAGCTTCTTGTACTTATCTTGCTGGATGTTGAGGCTATTTTTATCATGTCCCTTCATATTCCCACTTTTTTTCTCACCAGGTTATGGAAGCGGCGTTCTTTGAAGCTAAGGGAACTGCGAGAGCAAAAGCAGTTAGCAGCAAACGCTGCATTGAATTCTTTATCATTGGGGCCACCAGTTCAACTCAAGATAGACGTAAGCTTTTTCAATTTTTTGAAACTAGAGGTTTAACTGTCTGCTTTGTTCTGCAAGTTTGTCTTTATGAGCTTTGGTAGCAGCGGATTTTAGAGATATTCCTGTCTTGTTGATGCTGATTGTGAAGCTGTAGTTAGGTGATTATTGATGTGGAATGAAGCATGCTTCAATGATTTTATTGGGGAAGGATGATAAAAATTTGTGGCTCTCTAGAGATTGTTTCTTTTTATACTGTTGTCTTACACTTCTTGTCCAGTGATGTACTTTTCTCATCACTTAATAAACCATTTTTTCTTATCAAATAAAGAAAAGGTATTTTGATTTTCTTTTTCACGCCTCAATTTTTTGGGTTCATTTTCATCTCAAATAGAAGTGAGGAGATTTCACTTGTACATCTCTCCATCTTCACAAAATAGTGTAACACTTGGCTAACCTACTTGAACCCCTTCCTTTTCATCCTGAATGTCTTACTCAGTTACCCAATCTTCCATCATTAAATGCGTGCAGTTTTTATTTTTGCTTGTTCACCTAGAAGAATTGTATTTACAACTATTGGAACATAGTTTAGGAAAGAAATCTAACTGATGATTATCTCAGCCTTGACATCTTTTTATTTTCTATTTTGTAGCAACCGAGCACATCTGGTGAGTTTGACATTGATCTCATTTTGAGGGAGAGATATAAAAAGCAAGGAAAATCATGGTCAAGACTTAATGTTTCAGATGTAATAGCGGATATACTAGGGAGTAGAAACCCCGATGCTAGATGCCTCTGTTGGAAAACTGTTGTATGTTCCCAGATGAACAGTCTAGAAGGTGAACTGGGACAGAGGAGCCATGTCTTGGGAGCAGGCCCATGGTTGCTTTCAAAGCTCATGCCTTTGGAAAATGATGTGGACGATGATGATAATGATCTCGTAATTTCATCTCCTGGTGTGTCAGTATGGAAGAAATGGATTCCTGGCCAACCTGGTTCAGATCTGACCTGCTATTTGTCTGTGGTTAAGGATGCAAATTTTGATAATCTAATTGAAACTGTATCTGGTGCAAGTGCTATTTTGTTCCTTACATCTGAAAGCATCCCTTGGAAATTGCAAAAAGTCCAGCTCCATAACCTTCTGATGTCAATACCTTATGGTTCCTGCTTGCCCCTTCTGATCTTAAGTGGGTCATACAACGACATTGCAGATCCTTCTTCCACAGTTGTTGATAATTTGGGTCTCCATGACTTGGATAAGTCACGAATAAGCAGCTTTCTAGTTGTTCCCCTTGTTGAAAACCAGCAAACGGAACAAGTGGATGGGTTTTTCAGTGACAGCCGACTGAGGGAGGGGCTCAGATGGCTTGCAAGTGAATCACCTCTTCAGCCCATTCTTCATCATGTAAAAACACGTGAACTCATTCTTAGCCACTTGAATTCTTCGTTGGATTCACTAGACAAAATGAAAGATTATGAAGTAGGTCCAGACAACTGTATCCTTGCCTTCAATGAAGCCTTGGGTCGGTCACAGAAGGAAATTGCTGCTGCTGTCCGGGAAAATCCTTGCAGTTGGCCTTTCCCTGAGATTGCTTTACTCGAGGAGTGTAGTGATGAGTACAGGGTTGTGAAGTGGTACTTGCCAAGCATAGGATGGAGCGCAGTGCAAAAAGTTGAACCATTGATTTCAGCTCTAGGTGATTCTAAGCTTCCAGATTTTCCTGACAATATTTCGTGGTTGCCCAGATGTAATGCTGGAGAGGAGATTGAAAACCTGAGAATTGAACTTGAAAATGGCTTAATCGAATACCTGACACATTCAAGTAAGATGATGGGGCTTGCACTTGCTATGAAAGAGGCACATGTAATGTTGCAAAGAAGTTGTCGACTTGAGCGCGATGACTCGTGCTGCTACATTGTTCCGAAGTGGGTTATGATTTTCAGACGAATCTTCAACTGGCAGTTAATGGGTTTAGCCAGTGGGACCTTTTCATCAGCTTATATCTTGGACTGTCCTCATCTTAACACAGCTTTTGGAAACCTCGGTAAGATGGGGCTTGAAGATAGCGGACCTTCACCTTATTATCTTGATCAGCCATCTCTGGATGAAGTCATTGCAGCTAGCTATAGCCCTCTTTTGTCCCATAGAAATCAGGCCTTGCTAGAAGCTGATCGAACTCTTCCTGAAACATCTCCCAATGGTGAAATTCATGAGACCCCTAACACAAATGACTTGATGGAGATGGAGGATGAAAGACGTTTAATGCATGATGATCAAGCAATGATAGACGATGCATCTCGCGTAAATGGGACACTAGAGAATGCTGGCAGAGATATAGTGATGGCTGGAGAAGTAACAAAGGGAGCTGAAAAATTAAGCATGTTGTTAGAACAGTGTAACATATTACAGAATGTGATAGACGAGAAGCTGTCCATTTATTTCTGATCTGCTAATAATTTTGTACTAGTAATTTTTTTTCGTAAGAATTTTGTACAATTGTAACAACAGAAATTTGAAGTAAAAGCTGCCTTGCATCTGTCAAACGAGTTTCAGGGTTAAGCTTCAAACTGGATAACATTAAGAATAGATTAATTCTTGATATGCGAGAAAGTATTTTCAAACCTACCTTTTCTGATTAAAGCGTCGTTACTAATTTCTAATGCCATTTCCTCATCTTTATGAGAGTTGACATTTCTATTTGACTTGGTATTGCTCGACTTTTAATCACGGTTTGAGTTCCCTCTCGTTGACGTAGTCTACAAACAAGTTACAAGTTCAGAGATTAAAATGTCAAGCATTGCTAAAACATGCCAGATGACCCATACCGTATCCCGCGTTTTATGATCCTGAGGGCGATTTTGAAGCTCAGGACTTCTACGAAAAACTTAGACAGCATGCATGTCCTTTAGCCATTGACCAAATTTCTATTTTTTTTATTTTCATTTTTGTGGAAATGCTAGCATCCGTTGCAAGATGATTACGAATGCTGCCTATGCTCAACCCGATCTCAGCCGTTGATAGTTATAGACCCCACATCAAAACCATCACTCATGAAGAGCTAAGATTGCATCGCAACTCACCCTAGCACTCATTATTTTTACCCATCTGCATGCACACTTACTTTACTCTTTTTCTTTCTTTGGCCAACGCATGGTCCCCAAAAAGGAGGTGAAGCAAGCACGGCACCATCATAGAGCACTTGTTTTCCAGTAATTGGCTGGCAGTGTTGCCCCTACCCTAACTTGTGGACAAAGTAGTCATTGTTTGGATAAGACATGAGGTTGCTAAGAAAGGTGAAGGCATACATATGTAGGCCACTCTCGATTCAGAGTTTTGTCACTTAATGAGGAAACAAACAATCAAGAAAGGTCACATTCCATGACAATCTCCGACCTTGACATTATTGAACCAAACTGCCTGCCAACATTATTGCTCAAATTCATCATCCAATAACATCACCTCTTTCTGATCTTTAACAAAATTAAACAGCAGGTGTTATTGTCACTGCATCAATATAGCAACCTCTTCATTGCTGATTGCAGGGTTTGCATTTTAACCTAAAGCAGTTAAAAATGCAATTTATATGAAGAGGAAATCATATTTACAGATAGAGAAGTGAGAGTAACATACACAATATATTATATCTACTGATCATCTTTAAGTTTTAAGAGATGAAGAATCACAACCGAAGCTAAAAATTGTACAAGATTAAGTACATGAAAGGTTTGTAAAGGAACCTCCTACTTTCATTTCATTTCCTCCCTCTCCATTGCTTGGATTAGCAGATGCAAAGGTTACAGCTGAAGGAATGTTCTCCAGGCATACCATATGGTCAGAAACCGTGTCATTAGTGAGATTAGCAAAGGAACCTAGAGATTAGTGTTCAGGAACATCTTCATATATGTATGCAGAACCGACTGCTACTGCTAATCACTGGATGCACCACTAACTCACATCCTGCAATCAGTAAAATTTGAGTCAGGTATTTCAACAGAGGCATCGGTTAAATACTGGATCTCCAAACAAAAAAATTTGCTATGATCAAATTTGATGAGAGAAAAAAGAAAGTGTCCTCCAGGCAGACACTTGATGGGGATTCTATTTGACACGAAGGATTAAAGGCAACATCAAGCAGAGAAATACCACTTAAGAAAAATAACGAGATGTGTGGCAGCTTCAGTAAGGCCTTCCAGTTCAATCACTGCAGTCAATGGAGGGAAAGTAAATGCTTAGCTGATAGCATAATAGTCACAAAATGATATAAAACAGCTTAAAAGACCTACCAACTCCAAGGGCTCTGACATGCAGGCGACGGAACAACAATAGCTGGGCTCCGATTCATCGAAAGCACAAGCTGACAAGACTGTACTTCTGAGGAATCACTTCTCACCGAACGGAAAACTTCTGACCCAGTGGTAACAGATGATTCAGAAACTTTTCTCATCCTTGTTGCTGGTCTATTATTGGTCCCACTTGTTCCATCAGTAACACCACCACCTGACTGTGGGGCACAGAATAAAAAGTTAGTAAATAAGCCAATGAATAGAGTTGTATATAGGAAAACAATGCCCTCTAAAGCTAATATTGGATTCTGTATGTGTCATTTGCAAAGGAAGAAGCAGCAGGATAGCAATGAGTAGTTTATCTATTCCTTCAAATTGCAGATAAAATCAAGAAGTCAGTCAACTTGTAAATTTAATCCTTTGTCCTGGACATGGGGCATATGTAATCCTATGTTGTGTCTCACCCTGCTACATCATATGACTAGAAATTTAGCATTTAAAATGCCCAATTTTATTATAGAAGTCAAACAACAGAAATAATATTCTTTAACGACTAGTACACTGGTAATTTTACTCAAACTAAGTATAACTTGTAACATGCCCACCGAAATCCCCTCTCAGGAAAACATAGCCCACTTCCAAGAACATTTACCATATACCACTGTAGTGACTGACACAAGTTCTTATAGAGGGACATTGGGCTCGGCCTCAAGAAATATGGAAAAACAAATAGTTAAAAATCCAGAAAGTTTACATAATTCATACATTAGACAAGCCTTTGATGTGAACAATGATAATTGTTATATCATCCGTCCGGTTTTCATGTTCCAACCATATTTTGTATGATTCTCCAGCAATGGCAGCACATGCATCCCGAGGATCTGAATATTTTGCCGCCTGTATGAAGAATGGTGCTCGGAAATTCATAAGCAGGAAGAATGGAAATAGAAATAAAAACTAATAAAGGGAAGAAATTGTTCGACATGTTTATTCTTTTGGTGGAGTATGAAAGAATAAAGAAATAAACAAGAAGCCAAGGCAATGCTAACCAGTTACACATATAAAGAAACTCACAAATATGCAGGCATGATTAAATCCATCAATAGATTAGTCAATTACCCAAGTAGAAGTGAATGCAGAGTAATAAGATGAGATATGGACACAATAAAGCAACTACCTCAAATGCTAACTACTAGTAAGCTATAAACTGTAAAAGATCAGAAGACCTAACAGTTACAGATGCTAGAGAGGGAAAGCATACAAGCAATTGCTGCTTTTTTATATTCTTACTGTACAAATATGACAGCAGAGCAGAGCATTAATGGTGATGCTAACTGAGAAGCCTAAACTGCAGTAAGTAGTTATCTGGAGATCAGACTCAATAAACACCATGGATATATCCATGAAATGATAGCCTTATCAACATACCTAAGATGCCAAATAAAAAGTTACTATCTGATGGCAATATAAGTTTTTTCCATTCTTTTTTTGCATTTATAGAGCTATCTAATCATAATTGATCATAATCATATATGAACATGAGTATACACAAACAACCATTTGCCTCGGTCATTGATAATGTGTAGCAATCAAATTTACAAAACTCTAAAAACAATGAACTAAAAGTGAAATACTAAAAGCAGCAAGAGATCATGGTATTCGCATGATCAGAAATTCAACTACAATAGGCCAAAAACAAAATTAATGCCTAAATGAAGACAAACTAAGTTATCAATAAAAAAGGTTGATACACATAAAAAGAAGATGAGTAGATCTTTATTGCATTCTATAATGGGTCATGTGAACATACCATACTAACCACGGCTTGGCTAGAGAGGAACTCAAAAACCCCATCACTTGCGACAACAAAGAAGAGATGATTAGGTGTCAGCTGAAGCATTGACACCTCTGGAGTTGCAACAACGCCAATCTTCTCAGCTGTACTATCACCTACACTCCTTGTAAACGCAGTCCCAGGATACATCCCATTTTGAACCCACAGCCTGGGAGGATCACCACCTTCACTCTCTTCATCACCCCAGGTCTGGATATCCGGATCCTTCAGCCCTTCCACTTGATCAACACTCAAAACCCTGGCCCCACAAAGCTTCACTCTCTCATACTCGTCTTTCCTAAATGGTGTTTGGTCATAAGACAAGTCCTCTGCAATAATTCTATTACCATCTTTCACTGCAACCACAGCTCTCGAATCACCCACATTCGCAACATAAAGGGTATTCCCAATAACAAGCACAGTAATTGCCGTGGTACCACTCATAGTATCATCAATGTCACTATTATGCAACTCATAATTCGTCGTCAAAAAGGCAGAATTATAAGCTTTCACAGGGTCAGCTGACAATGTGGGATCATTTGCTAATATCTCTACTAGCCTGTCCTTAACAAAATTAGAACACTGGGTACCAAATTGGCCATGCCCATCAAACACACCAAAGAAATGGATATTTGGGTTACCTCTGACTTGCGTTCTAACACAGAAACTGTCCTGGTTTTCCTTATCCGGCGAGTCGGGATAGTAACCACGCTGCGTTAGCACAGAGTACTCCAAACGGAAGTCATGTGAAGGAACAGGGACGAGCTCCAATGACCTCTCTGAGAGTATGTGCTTCCTTTGCGCACTGTACGGACCAGCGTCTCTTAAGTCCCGGAGATCACCATCGGAAGACTGGGGGTAACGACCGCAACACTTGCCATGGACACAACCCATGGCTCCTAAAAGGGAGAGAAATGAGAGAGACAGACAGAACCAAGAAATTCAATTCCAGTTCAATTGCAGCCCAGGTGTTTCAGAAAATGCCTAAAAGAAACCGAGCGTGGCCAAAAGCAGAGAGCTACTGAAATGCAATTCTTGGTGGGAATGGTGAAATGGGTATCCTTGAATTTCGACATTGTGGTGCTGGAAGTGGTGATTCTCTGCACGGCTCATGATTCAGAACCAGAATTGAGGCACAATGTACAAAACCCTAAAAGCAAAATGAACTAAGAAATGGAACCTTGTGAGCTGCGACTACAGAGGATTAAGTTTCCCAGACGATAATTGCATGAGTGTTTCCTTTTCCACCCTCAAAGAAAGAGGGTTTTCCGGGAAAATTCTCCTCAGAAAAGAACAAATCCCGTCACCACCGAGAAACGATATTCAATACAAAACCCTAAAGCACAAACCCAAAGGACCAAAGGAATAAAGTTAAAAAGGTTGAAACTTTTTGGTCTTTCTTTGATCACAACACACACAACGCAATGGGGCTTGACACACAACAGAACGTGAGGTTTTCAGAGAAGAAAAAAACAAATTCTACTTTCTTTTGAGGGCACAAGATCAGGGCTCAAGAAGAGAACAGAGCTTTTTTTTTAAAAAGATTCAAGAATTCGAAACCCTAAGAAAGCAACAGTCCAAATAAGATGGGGTCTGTGTCTGTGACTCTGCAAAATGGTGACGAAATGGGGTTTCTTTCAAGGGAGAGATAAGGGGAGAGAGAGAGAGAGAGAGAGAGAGAAGAATGAGATTCTATGTGTGCATGGGTGGGTTAGTGTGTGTGAAAGAAACCCATGTTCCAAGAAATCGCCAAACCATGTAAGGTAAAGCTACTGACCTTTTTTGGAATTTAATGCATAAAATACACAATTTTTTTTCAATTCAGAATTCAAATAGTATTTGTTAATACATTATTATGCTAAGCAAAGAACTTTTGTTCAAATACTTCCAATTATTTTAAAACAATTTGCCGTCTTGCACACATTTTGGTTGTATTTGTTTGAATTTATCTAACAAAATATGTCATTCAATAAAATAAAATAAAAAACCAATGAGGGCTGGTTCAGTTGGTAAGGTCCATGCACTATGTGTAGCCACATCAGTGTTCGAGTCCTACTGCCAGTAGTCCTCATTGTAGCGCGATCTGTAATTTTCTACATAAATCCATACCGATGGCACACTTAAGTCCTTCCAGCTCGAGGTTGTGGATATGCCCTGACATTAGTGGTGAGAGTAGCCAATCTCTCTCTAAAATTTTCAAAATCAAAATAAAATAAAATAAAAAACCGAATTTGAATTTGAGTTGTTAAAATTGCAGCCTAATAAATTATTGCCTTGTGTAAACCACCAAATTCAAAAATGCGATTTTATTCTTAATTGAATTTAAAGTTTGGAATAAATCAACGGAAAGCAAACGTTATCAGACGCAATGCATCAAGCAAGCACTAACGCAAGCACGTGGGGTTTTGGCATGGAATAATCTTCGCAAAGGTGAAAGAGGAGGGAGGAGCTAACCAAGAAAAAGGTTTAAAGAAAGGGTAGGTTGCTTTGCGGAAAGAGAGAAAAGAAAAGAAAAGAAAAGGAAAGGGGGAAAACGAAAAAGAAAAATCTGATTTCATCACCAATCATATTTAGCAATGACTTTGTACCTCAAGTTCCGGTTTCGGATTCTCTTTCCTCCAATATCGCTTACGTTAAAAAAATGTATTATGCATTTTTATGATAATATCTCGAATTCAAAAGTTTTTATTTATTCATTGCAGTCAATATTGACTTCTTTTTTTCTTCCTATAATTGAAAGTCAAAGTTCCAATATGTGGTGCTATACCCAACCCCAAACCTCTTTAGTAATTGCATATCTTTTTAGCATCACCCTAATCTGTTTAAATTGGAAGTTTCTTCCTCAATTCATATGAGAGTGCTAATCAAGATGGACAGCTCAACGCTCATGGTTTCTATCAGGTGCTGCTGTGACTTGTTGTGGGGAAGACCTTGAACCTTGTTGCCAAGGAAAATTCCAAAATTGCTTTTTGGGGAAAAGAGGTTTTGGGTTGGGTTGGGTTGAGTTGGGTAGAAATTAATTTCAATTTTCAAGATGATTAGGGGACCAAACGCATGTCGCATGACCCATAGAGAGTCCCACTAGATTCTGTCATTCTTTGAGCTTTTGATGTCTAGCTTTTTTCTCCATCACAATCTCAGCTTTTGATATTAAAAAACTCTAAAAGTTGATGGGTTAAGTTTCTTCTTCCTTGGTTAATTAATCATCTTAATATATACTTTCTTTCTGCCAAACTATGAATTTGGACAATGAATAAAGCTGAATCTTACATGAAAATATATGTTTCATATTCACAGTCTGTCGACATAAGTATTTATCAGATACACATCCCCTCAATTAAGCAAACATTTATTGTAAAATATATGGCAAGACTACGTTTGTTAAAGATAAGGTAAAACAAACATGCCACTTCTTAGATGGGATCCCATATTGCAAGACGTAAGACAGTCGGACACCGGTCATACACAACCAGATCATCCGACTGTCTCACGTCCTGCAAAAAGGGGATGTAAATTTAAAGCTAGAATGAACAACGGCATACTTGAATTGAATCTACCTTCTAGTCCAGCCCAATAACTATCAGTTAGAATTGGGCCCTTGGGCTTAAAACAAGTCTTTGTCATGCAATGGGAAATGGCTTGTAAAAAGTGTTACCCATTTACATCATTTCATCAATTTATTTGGTACACGAATGTATGTATTTGAAGCAAAAGCAAGGCCAGTTGCCCAGAAAAGAATGTAAATTGAAAATGAATCCATTTTAAAACAGTAGAAAGTTTTAAGCCCTGTCTGTTCTGTATGCAATAATTTCATATCATACGAACCCAGTGACTAATTGCGAAATTCTACAGTGAGGGTGCTATTTATTTATGGACTCATAATACGGACTTTCATATTAGTCATATGATCATTCCATTAAACTTAAACGAAATTACTATTCAGATTAATCATATGATACCCTCACCATAGAATGGACTTTCATATTAGTCATATGATCATTCCATTAAACTTAAACGAAATTACTATTCAGATTAATCATATGACACTTTCACCATAGAATGACTTGTCGTGAGTAATTATAGCAGCTTCCACACCTTTACACCTGTAGCTATTTCATGTCTCCGACAACTTCATCAACTTAATAATTATCACGTGCAAATTATATATGTTTTCTAAAACGTGAAAGCTGGAAGGGAAGAATTTCAAAAAATAAAGAAAACAATAATTATTGTTTTGTATATGTATATGCGACAAAGAACTATTGGGTGACATCATAAGTGACTTCATTCCCCATTGGGCATTATCATGGAGAAGGAATTATTTTGTTCATGAAAAGTTTATCCAACCCCATGCATGCAAACCACGCTTGACACTCCACGCATTCAAAACATAAAGAGATTTCAATGGATTTTTGTTCCGTGACGTTGTTTAATGGTACAAACTATGTTAGTCTTTTTTAGGATCCAAGTTGTACAAGATTGAGTAAACTTTATATTAAAGAGTTGAATGAAATTTAGGGTTTAAAACATAAGAAGATGATATAACATGCCGGTTTAGGTGCAGATGTTTGCGCGGTGCACTTGTCCAAGTAAGAAACGACCATATTTTATGCATGATCGTGTGTGAATATTCACTGTTAAATTTACGACTTATATTCCATATGTAAAAAGGGATTTGTTCTTTGATGAACTAATTAGTAACAAAACACATGGACAAGGAGACAAGGGAAGGGAATGAAGGGCAAAGAAAATAGAAGAAGAAGAAGCAAAAAAAAAATCCCCAAAAGGAAGTAGGAAATGAAAGAAAATGAATAGAATAAGAGATGAGAATAGAGAAGAAAGAAAAGTTCCAAGTAAACCTCTCAAGAAAGAAGCACTTTTAATCCCCACTACGACTACTACCACCACAAACCTCAAAATCTTAGGCGTGACATGCCTAAGTGGGGTGCATTATCATCATGCTTTGCTACCTCCCAACCCCAAGTAGTAACAAACCCCCCTTTTTCATCCACATCATCTCTACTACTTATCCCCACCGCATCCCCACTTTTGCCTTTCTACAACAAGCCAACCCCACTTTTTTATCATCGTCTGCTTCTTCTCGCACCTCCGCCGTCCGATTCCTTCTAAAATTTTCACCTAATTTCTAATTAAAATTTTAAAACCCCCCACTTAATTACGATTTATTATTGTAATTATTACTCCGGCGATCCACGAACGTTTGATACACGACCGTTCCGGCAGCCGGGAACTCATCTGCCGCGCAGCTCCGGCACTTGAACCCCAGCGGCTCCAATGCCCCCGCGACACGTGTCCACGCCTCGTGGCTCGCGCACGTGGTCGACACGGACATTGTCGCCGGCCGGAAGACCTGGACGACCTTCTTCAGCATCCGAACGACTTCTTCGCGGTCGTCGTAGACCGACCCGACGCACTCGAAGCTCGCGTAGCTGTAGCCGTCTTCCGGGGTCACGTGGATCGTGGAGTGGCGATCGCCGTCGATCCCGTTCATGGAGTAGCCGCAGGGGTCGAATGCGAAGTCGCAGATCAGAGCCCTGGGGTTAATTTGGGAAATCCCCGTGAGCTCCGTCATCTCTTTGCCGGCGGAATCGCCGTTCTTGTCGTCGCCGGGACGGCGGAAGAAGTTGCGGGCGAGGTCGCGGTCGAGCTCGGTCATGCAGATTTCGAGGGTGTACAAATCGTCGTCGTCGCTGTCTCCGAAACGACACGTCGTGTTCTGGGTGGACGCGGAGAACACGTGCCAGGCGTGCGAGGGGGTCTTGGAGGGCATGACGGAGGCCTTGCGGTAGCAGAGAGCAGCAGGGAGAGACTCTTCCAAGTAAACGACCTCGTTTTGGAAGTTGGTGTAGGGAAAAGGCTGAGCTCTGGGGAAGATAAAGTTCCCGCGGGTGTAGCGACAGGAGGAGAGGGTGAGGCCCAGATCGAGCGACGCGTGGCGGAGGAGGGGAGGGATGGATTTGAGGAGCTGGGTGGTCCCACAGGTCTTGATGATGATCTTGGTAGGGTAGACGAAGAGGCTGGACTCGGATAACACGTAGGCATCGAAGTAGTGATTGGCTACGGCAGAGACCACGGTGCATTGGACCTCATCTAGGACTTCTTGGATGGAGTCAAAGTCAAGAAGCCTTAGGCCAAGCCCAAGAGTGCCCATATTTTTAGGGTCATCCCCAAAGAAGTGTAGCTCCAAGCGCTTCTCAAACCCTTCAAAACCAGACACAGCCATTTGGGTTGCTTTTTTTTTTTTCTTTTCTTTTCTTTTCTTTTTGGCCACACAAACACAAAAACAAACAAGTACCCAATTGAAAAAGCACCAAAATGAAAGTACCCAAATGAATGAACAAGTGGGTAGAAGTAGCAAAAGCTAGTAGGATAGAGAGAAATGGAAAGAGAGAGAAGGGTTTGTGGAGCGAGAGAAGTTTGTGAGGAATTGAGAGATGAGAGAGAGAGGTGGGGTGTGTGGAATTTATAGGTAGGTGGGTGTGAGGAGTGAGAGAGTGAGAAAGGAGAGAGAGAGAGAGTGGGATGGATGGAGATTGGAGAAGGTAGCTAGGGGTAGTGAGGTTAGAGGGGCATGCGGGTGAGGCAACCAAGAATCATGATTGCAGGCATTATGAAGTGAATAAGGATGATGATATTGAAATGCCTTGCCTTGCCATTTTTATTTTTTCTGTGCATAAATCTTTCTCCACAGTACAGCACAGCACAGACAGGTAAAACAGGCAACG